TTTTAAAAATTATATTTGATAGATTATGTAATTTTGAAGTATAATCTAACATATTAAAATTAGAATCATTTCATGATAAAAATGAAATGGAAATAAAAACTCATTTTTCGAAAAATAAATATATTCATTTGTTAACATGTTTGGTCTTCATTTTTTAAAATTTATTTTTCTTTAAATACATTTTCAATCATGTATTTATGGAATTCACACTTTTGCTCTTGAATTAGTGTGGAGAAATTGAGAGGCATGACTGTAGCGTGTAAAAATTGAGAAAGAGCAAAGAGGGCTTTATGACATAATCCTCCACACCGCGTAAATTGAGGAAAAGCAACAAAGTCACTGTATCAAACACATAAGATAAACGACGTCGTTTCTTTCTCTCAATAAAAAAAAAGCTACAGTGAGACAAAATGAAATAATCTACTGTTCTTTCTACAGTAGTGAAACATTGCCATTTTTATATAGCAGTGATAACATGTTTGGTATTCATTTTTTAAAATTTATTTTTTTTCAAACATATTTTTAATCATATATTTATGGAATTCACACTTTTGCTCTTGAATTAGTGTGGAGAAATAGAGAGACATGAATGTAACGTGTAAAAATGGAGAAAGAGTAAAAATGGCTCTATGACATAATCCTTCACGCCGCGTAAATTAAGGAAAAGCAACAAAGTCACTGTATCAAACACGTAAGATAAACGATGTCGTTTCTTTCTTTAAAAAAAAAATAAAATCAGTGAGACAAAATGGAAGAATATACTGTTCTTTCTACAGTAATGAAACGTTGCCCTTTTTATATAGTAGTGAAAAGAAATTCAGAACCGACATATTCACTCAAAAAGTGATTTTACAGGATCATTTTTTAATTTACATATTTTTTATCTTTATTATCGATTTGGGTCATTCGATTCTTTAATTGTTAATTCTTTAATTTTTTCAAGTCAATGCTCGATCGACAGTCGACTTATAAAACTTTATTTTTTTCACCACATATGCGACCTTTTGGTTGCAGGCAATGGAACTGATTATCACACACTTGTGTAAGGTTTCATCCAAACCAATGTATTTGAACTATTAATAATGTTTGTTGAATTAAGAAATCTCATTTTGAAAGTCACTATATATAGATGAGAAATTCCATGTAGGGTTCCGACAAGGGATGGAACATTTATATTCTTGGATTTGGTCTTTTGTTGTATCTAAAATGTTTGTCACAATTAAAACTAACTTTTAAGTAAAATTTTCCTTCTAATTTTTATTTATTAATAAGATAAGAAAAAACAAAAAACTATACTTCCAAAGGTTTCTTTTTTCACTTGTCTGACTTATCACACGGAAGAGTTCAATAATGGGCATATTAAGCAACGTGGGACGTCAATTATTATTAATTAGTACCTAAAACCCTAAATTCATCTATATATACTTAGACAATGTAGTCTTTCTGCCTACAAAAGCAAGTCATATGCATATCACGCAGTACGTAGAAAACCAATTTTCTTCATTTGCAATCTGCCAAACTTACAACCTTCAAATTTTGGTCTTCTGTTTTGTATTGCACTTCTTCTTTTAATTTCTCCGAGTTTGCGTCTGCTTAGAATCGAAGAGGTATTGCATGTTGATAATGTGTTATATTATTCGCACATGTTAGATAAGTAGTTACGGGATTTTAGTTTCTTTTTCTACTTTAATGTTGTTCACATTTCAGGATGTGCTTCTTCCTAGCTCTAATATCTTGATTATCTGATGAACTGATAATTTGGTTGAAAACAGGATAAAAAAAAAAAAGGTAGAAGTGAACTTTCAGTTTTCCAACAAACTACCTTGAAAGGTTGAGTAAAAAACCAACGGAAAAACATGTGGAGGCTGAAGATTGCAGAGGGAGGTAACAACCCTTATTTGTACAGCACCAACGATTATGTAGGCCGACAAACATGGGAGTTCGACCCTGACTATGGAAGGGCCCAGGATCGAGCCGAGGTTGAGAAAGCTCGTCAAGAATTCTGGAACAACCGCTACGAGGTCAAGCCCAGCAGCGATCTCATCTGGCGGATGCAGGTACACAAAAGACAACTATATTTTGATACGTCTTTAAATTAAAAATCGAACCTACTCTCTCCATTTCATAAAGACATGTTTACTTTCCTTTTTTGTTTGTTCTAAATTACAAGCGACTTTTTTCCCCCAAATATAAACTCTCTGTGTTTTTCATTATTTTGGTATATTAGAAAAATTGTTGACCTTTGCTCTCCATTAACTCCAATTATAGCTGCTACTTTAAATTTAAGCATCTTCTACTTGTAAGATGCAATGATTAAGACATTTATTTAAGAAAAAATCTTAATGAAATTTGCATGCAGTTTCTACGAGAGAACGATTTCAAACAGACAATACCCCGAGTCAAAGTTGAAGATGGAGAAGATATAACCTATGAAACAGTAACAGCCACGCTTAAAAGGGCTGTCCAATTCTTCTCAGCCTTGCAAGCCAGTGATGGCCATTGGCCTGCAGAAAATGCTGGTCCATTGTTCTTTCTTCCACCTTTGGTGAGTCCAAGCATTACTTCTTTTAGTTTTCGACACGCCTTCTTAACATGAAAAGCAAAGCGGGGAATTCATCCATGCCAATCGGTAATGTTTGAACGAATGCAACTGATATTGAATGGGAATGAATGGAAAAAATAGCATGCCTTATAAACGGAAGGTTCCGAGTCTATTTTATTTTTATAAGATCGGTATAAAACCTTATTCGAATTCTTGAAACAAAGCAAAAGAAATTCAGGTTGAATGAATAAATGGATAAGACCTTATGGCTTCAATTAATCATGGAAAAAAGAAGGCAAGAATCACCTCGTATACTACACATTCGGGTTGTCCACGTGATTCAACGCTAATTTTTTAAGCTGAATTTAACCAAAAACTGCAGGTCATGTGTCTGTATATTACTGGCCATCTTAACACTGTGTTTCCAGCAGAACATCTCAAAGAAATTCTCCGCTACATTTACTGTCACCAGGTGAAATTCCCGGCTAATTCAATTACACATATCAGATACACACACTCTCCCACTCACATTCTCGGCTAACAGCATTTTCACATTACAGAACGAAGACGGCGGGTGGGGTTTACACATAGAAGGCCATAGCACAATGTTCTGCACCACTCTGAGTTACATTTGTATGCGTATACTTGGAGAGGGACCGGAAGGTGGCAAAAACAATGCCTGTGCTAGAGCAAGAAAATGGATACTTGACCATGGCACTGTTACAGCAATACCTTCATGGGGGAAAACCTGGCTTTCGGTATGATAAAGAAAACTGAAAATATGCATTTCGATGGGTTTCACGATACCATGAGGAAACCTTAACATGTATTGTTTTCAATGCGTTTTTTAGATACTTGGAATATTTGACTGGTCAGGAAGCAACCCAATGCCCCCTGAGTTTTGGATCCTTCCATCTTTTCTCCCCATGCATCCAGGTTTGAGCTGTTCGACTGTCTTCTGCACATTACCACATAGAGAGCTGCAATTAACAGAAACAACTGTTTATTGTCATACCGGGATTTTCCAACAAAATTGATCTATTGAAACCTGATCGTTCACTAGTGCATAAATATACTGTTAAAAGACTTTCCAAACTGAAATCAAATAAATTACGGAGAATAAACTCCAAGACGGTATAGTTGGATTGATTGTTCTATTTCCAGCCTTTTTTTGGTGAACAATCAACAACTTTTCTTTTTCCATTCAGAAGTCGATTTCCATATCATAGGGATCCCTAATTGAACGTTACATAAAATGAAAAAGAAACACACACACACAGAAGGG